CCTATTCTCTTTGGATGTATACTTGCCACAGGGCAGGGTGATTTGCCCCCTCTTAGGATTGGAGGGGAAAGAGGTGAGAGGGTGTGTGGAGGGAGTGGGAGGAGGGGAGGGAGTGGGAATTTGGATTGATATTTTTTAAAGTAATAAAATAGTAATAAAAATTTAAATCTGTTGATTTGTGCCTTTGTTTCGGTGCTGTGACTTTGTTTCTGAGGTGCTGGCCTCAGTCTCCAATGCTTCATCATGTCAATCTGGCACCTCCCTCGGGTCTACTCTCCAGTCTATACGTTTCTTTCTTTGGTTGTTTTGGTTTTGTTTTTATTTTGTTTTATTTCATTTTGTTTTGCATTAAGGGCCTTCCTATGTAGCCTAAGCTGGTCCCAAACAGCTGGGCTCAAGGAATCCTGCTGTATTGCATTAGCCTCCTCACTAACCACCATGTCAGCTTGCACCCTGAGTTTTGGTAACTGTGTAATTGACACCTGAATTATGGTGTCTGATTTGACTCCCAAATCTCTTTGAATACCTTTGCAGTATATCCCACCTTGAAGTGTCAATTCGTTTTAAAAGTCATAAAAAAATGATGTGTATGGGTATTTTGTGTGCATGTTCTCCTGTGCACTGCACCACTATGTGCTTTGGTCCCCAAGGAATCCAGAAGAGTCTTGCTTCCCTAGAACAAAAATTACAGATGGCTGTGAGCCACCATGTGGGTGCTAGGAATGGAACATGGGTTCTTTGGAAGAACAACCAGAGCCATTAACCTGCTCCCCCCCCAAGTGTGAATACTTAGCAATATAAATTAGAATTACGTACTCTTGGCAATTTTAATGTCATCATGTGCTCTTTGTGTGTGTGGCTTGCTGTGCATGGGGCAATATTGTCAAACTTTATCTTAAAAAACTTATTTTAGGTGTGTGTGTGCGCATATGTGTGTGTGTGCCCGTGCATTCGCAGTACATGTGCACACATACACATAGGCCAGAAGAGGATGTTTCATTCTCTGGTACTAAAGTCACAGGTGGTTGTGAGCCACCCCCACATGTGTTGGGGACCTCTTTGCTAGAGCAGCAAGTATTCTTAATTCTGGAGCCATCTCACCACTTCCGCATCTTCTGTTTCTTGAGATGGGGTTCCCCTCTGTTTAGGATGACTTAGACCTTCTGGGCTCAAGTGCTGAGGTGTGTGCCTCAGTAACCAGCAGGATTCATAATTTCATTTTACACAGTTAACTCTTAACAGTAGCTGAGTTTTTCATCCTGTGGACACATGATGATCTGTTCAGTTTCTCTATTGATGGAGTTTTAAAATTATTGGTTGTTATGAATTATGATGCTGTGAACATTCATGTACAACTCTTTGTGTGCCTGTTTATGTGTCTTTTGATAAATATCTCATGATCCAGTGAGATTCCTGGGTTGCAGAAGTGTGTGTTTGACTTGATGAGAACTTATCAAACTTTCCTCCAGAGTGCTTGTACCAGTGTGCACTCCTAGCGCCACGAGTGTGCTAGTCATTCCCATGCTCACAGCCCTGGTACTGTCAGTCTTTCAAAAGGTAGCTATTTTTCAGCCATGTCTTCCCGAGGACCTTTCTGTTTGCACCTTGCAGAAACAGCTCACTACATGCCCGTCACACTGAGTTCTCTCTCAGCCTCTAATGTCTCCGTCTTCTCTGTGCTTCAGGTCACTGTTTCCTGACGTGTAGGATGTGGGAATCACACAGGAGTTTGCCAGAATTCCCAAGCCCAAGTCCCATGAACATACTGTCTCTTCTTCCCCAGGATGGAATATAGGTTCATGCAAGTTGAGAAATTCCCTCACTGATGTACAGCCCTAACCAAAGCCATTGCCCAGCAGGGGCTCTTGACCAATGTCACAGTTTCTCTTCCCATTGCTGTGCTAAGACAGAAAAGCGACTTCAGTGTTTATTCAGGCTCACACTTGAGGGGTACAGTCCATCACGGTGGGAGTTCAGGTTGCAGGAACTCGAATCACCAGGACATATCACATTCACACTAAGTGAACAGAGAATGATGAATGCATGCTGTTACTCAGCTTGTCTCTCCACACACACAGTGCAGGGCACACTGCACAGGGAATGTGCCCCTCACAAGTAATTTGATTTACCCATGTCAATTCCTGTGATGAGACAATCCTCACAGACACTCTCGTAGGTTAGCCTTCATAGATGATCTCACAGGTGTGCCTGGGGGCTTGTCTCCTAGGTGACTCTAGATTCTCTCAGGATGACAGTTGACCCTGACCACCACAACTACCCAATAATGGCACTGGCAGATTTAACGTTACCAGTGTTTGCATTCCTTTGCAGACCAATTCAATAAGAAGATATGAATGTGGCCTGGGCATATCTAACTATTCCTCAGGGATGCCAACATATATCCATATTTTCCCATTTTCCATTTGATTTCTCTGTACTCTCCCTCTGTGTTTTGAGGATCAAAGACAGAGCCTCACGCTCCTGGGCAAGTGCTGAGTTCCTGCACTGTGCCTCAGCCCTTATTTCTCTGTGTACGTGTGGTATTCGTCCCTTTCAAATTTTGTGTTATTGCTATTTTCTGTGTCTTTTATCTTAGGAATTTATGTTTCCTAGAGAAAGGACACATCTGAGAAGATGGTAGACAATGTTTTCCTGGTGACTAACTTATGTATTCCTGAAAGGTACAGAAAATCTCTGTCTACCACACAGTTGTGTCCTTCCTGAATCTGATGTCCTCACTTGAATGCTCTAGTTGTTTGATCTGTCTGAAGTTGCTTATGATGAAAGATGACCACAGTGAATGTAATGGAGAAATTGTGCTGGTTGGTGTACATTTGTAGGCATAGCATTGGGACTAAGAATTTTATGCATACATATGGTAGATGCGCAGGGATGTATCAGAGACACATCTAATGAGAATTGAGAGTGATAAAGACGTGAGAACATGCTTGACATATAACATATGTGTGGGTAAATTTTTTTTTTTAAATACATTAAGGGAGTAAGGTTTTGAGCTCATGCCTTTAATTCTAGCACTTGGGAGGTAGAGGCAGGCAGATCTTTGTGAGTTTAAGCCTGGTGTACATAGTGAGTTCCAGATCAGCCAGAGCTACACAGGGAAACTCTGTTTCAAAAGCAAGCAAATAAACACACACTCAAAATGAATCTAAAACAAAGAAATCCATGTGCTGATGGTGATGAGCCATTTGCATGAGTATTTATTTGGAGGCAGGTGCCATGAGTTCCAGCAAGAGGTAGGGGCTTGAGATACACATGCCGGAGCCATCTGCAGACACCTTTGGAGCTGAGTAAGGGGTGGGCACACGAAGCGTCTGAGGTCTGACCTGTGTCAGGATGCTGTGTGTTGGTGGTGGATGCAACACTGATGACCCAAAAAGTAGAGTTGCTTGTGGTTGTAGATGGTGTGAGGGTGACATAGCCCTTTGGATCCAAGAAGTGACAGTGGTTTCCTGGTGTTTCCAGCGTCTTGGGTATGGAAATGGGATAGGGGAAGAGCCTGCCAAACAAGCATTGCCATTGTTTGCCAGGGAGGAAAAGGAGATGCCAGGGTAGCACTTGATGGAATTACTACACGGATCTTACTCAGGTCAGAGGTTTAAGAGGACAGGCAGGAAATTAGCAATGAGAAATGGACAGGAAGTGCTGGAGACAGTTCAGTGTGAGGCAACATGTGGAGATTTCTGAGCTGAACACTGCATTGCTGCCTTTGAGTGGCTGGAGCCACTTGGGTTGGAGGAATTGTTTACTGTGATGGAAAGGACCAGAGAGGCTCTTTGTTCCTGTAATCCCTCCTCTTTTAGAGGACTGTAAACAGCTCTTTCTGGGCAGCTCAGGGCTTGGCTTGTTGCTTGCACGTATACTTTGTCAATAAATGTGCAGTGCATTTAGCTAATTCCTAGATAACTGTCGCACCCGCCTCAACCAGCAAGGAAACATAACACCGGAGCTCTTCTTGCAAGCAGTTTATTCAGGATCTTGTTCACAGTAATCTTTCTCCTTCTCTTTCTCTTTCTCTCTCTCTCTCCGGGCAAACCTCTCCCAGCCCTTAGAAAGACACAGGCCGCCAACCCCGGATTGCCAGGTGGGTATTGCCCATAGGTCCACGCATATGCAAGCAGCTGACAATCATTGCGTGATAATAGCACGAGTCAGGCCTTAGCCATACTAGGAGTTGATTATCACAGAGAGCACTCACTTTCGGGATCGCGGAGGGCAGAAGCCAGCACCATCAGGTGCAGCTCCATGCAGCTCTCTACAGACAACTACATCAGAGAGCTACTGTACAATACTTAGCAGTAGGCACACTCTCTCCCCCCATCCAGAGTTGTTGTCTTCTACCTGTAAGGAAGACATTGTCTAGGTGGTACCAGGTAGGGATGTATCTCAGTGTAGAGCATTTGCCTAGTGCATGCAAGACCTTAGCATCCATCCTAAGCATGGCAAAAGCAGAAACAAACAAAATACAGAAAAAACCTACAAGTAGCATCAGGGATATGTGATATTTTATTATGAACATAGGGGAAATTTACAAATAACTCAGATTTGGCGTTAGCCAGGCAATTTTAAATAATCCAGAATAGAATTAATGAAGGAAAATATACACAGAATTCCTTTGAGCTGGAAGTCCCTGAGAGAAATCCCTGAGTACAAGAACTCCAGAGTAACTGTCTTGGAAGGCCCGTTAGGCACGGCATGAGAACAAACACTTATTATCCAATAAAACCCTTGATTAGCAGGCACAGGGTGGGGGTACGTCTTGAAGAGAGGATCCCGGAGAGCACATTGGCCTTTCCTTCTGTTGCTGGGATTCATCCCAGGTGGGAAAAGTAGGTTTCTGAGGCTGTTGAAAGCCCAGGGCTGGGAAAGAACCCCCTGCAAGTGTCCCACATTCCCAGGGGAGCACCAGTGCACAGCTCTCTAGGATGTAAACAATGCCTTCAGCTTGAGTGTCTGTGTATGGTGGACCAGACACACCATAGCAGGGGCTAAGGATTCCTGAGAGTGTAGGGCAGTCAGGGAATGCACAAGCCACTGGGCTTGGTGGCCTGTGCTGTAATCTCAGCAGGAGGGAGATTGTAGAAACTGTTATTGTGATATTGAAGCCTGTTCAGGTTACATGCTAAAACTCTGTCTCAAAAAAAAAAAAAATAAGTCAACAAGAGAATCCAAAGAAAGGGCAAACTATGCACAGGCAGAAACACTGCAGAAGGGTACTTGGAAGCTGGTCCTGGATCTCCAGGAGCCGGGTGGGAATGACGAAAGCCTGTTGTTAGTTGTTGAAGCCGAGGACAATTTATGTTAGAGTTTAAAAGCAAAACAGCAAGGCAGACGAGCTGTAAATCTAAGCATCAGCCTGGAGAGGGGTTGGAGTGGAGGAGGAATGGCTGGTCTTTGAGTCAGGCAAGAGTTCAGCTGGCAGCCTACAAAGGGTGGGGGCAGGTGAGCTCCAGGGAGAGAGCAAGGAAGCCAAAAGTGTCAGAGAAATATTGTGTAGGCTCTGGCCAGTGCCCAGCAATAAAGAAGACATGGAAAAAGTCAGGCTTTTCTGACAAATTCAGGGAAGTAAGAGGCTTTTCTCGATAGTAGGCAGTGGTTCTGCAAGTGACTTGCCTTGTTATTCATTTATTCACTTTTCTTTGGAACTCTTGATCAAAAGGGCTTGAGAGGCCTTTTGATCCTGGCCAAGGGAGCCAGAGGTGCAGTGGCTTCTTGCCCCTAAGGCAGACCTATCAGCTCACACACTGAGCAAAGTCAGCAGTTAACAAAAATTCAAATAGTGGGTTGTCTTACAGAGCAGAAAACTCCAGTACCTCCAAACGTGGCTTCTTTAGAAACAATCTCAATGCTCCACATAGGGTATCTTTCTGTTCTGTTTTCAGTTTCCAGGAGACTGTCAGTTCACCAGCCCTGCTTTTCTGGACTCCTTCCTGGTAGAGGCTAGAGATGCTGTCTTTGCACCTGTCCTCTGTGTTAGCAATGGCAGTGGATGCTGCCAAAGAGCTTTGCTAGCTGCTTTGAGTGGGTTTTCTGGAGAAAGGCTCAGAGGTGGGCTCAGGTGTAAATGCACAACATACAGAGACCCTGATGCCACAGCCAGGAAAGCATGATGGTTGGCGTGGAGATTTCCTGAGACCTCTGGCTGAGCCTTGATCTTCCCGTGTACGATGGCTTCACATCTGGCTTTAAAGACACAGGAATGCCCATTTCCTGCTTTTCCTTTGTTTTTTGGCATAAGCAGTTAGGTGATGTCCAAGATTATAGTAATTCAAGTCAGACTGTGCTAGGACAGGACTGGAGCTGGGGAGAATGACTGTGCTCTGAATAGGTCAATTTAAAACAAGCCATGGCTAGGGGAGTGGATGGTGGGCAGCTTTGATGCCCTTTTCTCAGCCAAGTTTCAATTCCAAGAAAGGTTGGGTTTCCCGTAGGCTCCAGAATACATTGTTCCTTCTATTGATACTGAAGGAGAGGCTGCCGCCTGGAGCTGTGTGTGCGCGCATACACACATGTGTTTCCTCATCTCATGGTACAGAGATCTCCTAGTGAGGATGAGAGTCTGGAAATGCATCATTGGTGCAGCCAGCATGACAGGCCATGATCACTTCCTTTTTAGTTCTGAATAAACTGTTTCTGTGGCTCTTGAAGATGTCAAGGCTGAAGTTGATGGTTTGAGTGTCTGGCCGTTGATGTTCAGGACAGTGTATACCACGTGATCCCCCTGAAAGTATGAGTGTTGGTCAGTGACATCAGTCCCGCAGGGCAGAGCCTCACCTTGCTGGTGATCCAGTCCCACTGTGCTGTGGCCTCTGTGCCGGGTGAGCCATGGGAGAGGACACCCGTCACTCACTGTCTGAGTCTGATGTGTGGTCACTAGAGGAGACAGGTTGAGGAAGAGGGTGAGACAGCCGTGGGGACAGAGGAGGAATCAACAGAGACATCCAGATGGGCCACAGAACAGAGAGCGAGGGTATGGACCATCCTGCCCACCACTGCTATTTGTTGGGAAGTGACAGCAAAGTGTGTTTGCAGGGTGGGGTTAGTTTTGATGTAACTTAGCTTGCCTACTGCTTATGAGTGTGTTCAACCTGCGAGAGTTCACACTGTGAAAGTGTCCTTATGGTTTAAAGCACTCTTCAGTCTATGCCTGTACTTGGTTGAAAGGCTGCAATGATAAAATTTTGGTAAAATTGTTGTATAAGGAAGAAACAGGGTCTCAAACCCATTAGAATGGAATCCATCCTTTTTATGGTCAGAGCAGGTTCAGATCGGAAGAGAAAGATGCGCTGTTGTCTCTGTGTGCACAGTGCTGTGCATGTATCAACTCGTTTATTCCCTTGAGTCTCTTTTCTGAGGTGGGCAGAATGCCCGTTTCACAGGTGACAAGACCGAGGATCAAAACGTTCAAGTTCCTTGTCAAGGGCCACAGAATACAAGGAATTGTGGTCAGGAATTAAGCACAGGGCAGGGATTTTTCCAAACACACACTCTTGTATTAGACTCTTGGGGCCCATTAACCAATCTTTGCTGCAGCCCTAAGGAATGCAGACCCAAGCTGAATTTCACAGTTATGTCTCCAAGAATACCTCATTCTCAGCCTGGTGTGGTGGCACACATTTGTCATTCTAGCACATGAGAGGCTAAGGCAGGAGGATGGTCAAGAGTTCAAGGCCAGCCTGGGTTACATAGCTCAAGGGTAGCCATGGCTGCTCTGTGAGACCCTCTCTCAACAAACAAGCACACAAACCAAAACAATACAGACAGCGCACATTCTTCAGAGACATTTCCATGAGCAAACAGCCAGTGAAAGTTAGGAGAGTCGTCAGAGGGGCCCCGATCTAGGGGAGCAAGAGAGTTGTCAGTGCACAGAAGTGCAAAGCTGTCTGAAGGTTTCCTGAATTTTGGCAGGTGGCAGGGGTTGCAGGGGGAGGTGGCCATGGTCAGTTCAGGAATTAGCTTCCCTCAGAGGCTGCTTAGACCCACTGTGTTAGTATCAGAGGAGGAGCAGGATGGAGCCTTCTGTTTGCCCAGTTCACAGGATGCCCAGAGGTGATTCTCAGCAGCATGCGCCAGTGGCAAGGGAAACATAGAGGCCACAGCACCCAGATATTCCATAAGACCAAGAAAGTCTCCCAAAAGGAGATGTCTACGTCTATAATCGAGGCAGGAAGGAAGGCATCAGGAGACCCCTGGAAACGTGACTTCTTTAGGCCTGCCTAGTCTGGTGGAATGAGCTTCTCAGGGCTCCCTCAGGCAACTCCTCTGTAGTTAGGAAGGCTATGATTTATGAGATCCTCAGTGCAGGGAAGTGCAGATCCCTTCTGCAAACATGCAGAAAGGAAGGTGTGGTCTCTGAGCCCAGGATCCCCTATCAGAGCAGGATATGTGGCAGAAAGCCAGTTCTCATTCTGTGAGTGGCTTTACTTACTGTGGTTGGAGGCTGAGGGTTTGTGCTCTGTGAGATCGCGCTGGTCAGTTCCCCCAAGTAAATATCAGACACTGTGACCACTCTTCCCACACAGGGGATCTTTGCTCTTGGAGTTGGGGAGGACGCTGTGGGCAGCTCATTTCTGGGCTCCTTGCTGTCACTGAAGTTTCATCACCCCATTCTTGGCACTGCCTTCCCTCCTGAGGCCTTGTTAGTTCTTTGCTGGACTCTGAATCTGCTCTACTTTGGTCCCTGGTGCTGCGACCATACCCAGGGCTGGTGCTTTACTGCTGAGCTGTATCCCTGGTGTGTAGCTCTCTTATCTTTGATGGTTTGCACCTGTCCTATGTAATACCTGCCCTGTTTTGTTTTCCAAGTGTGGATATGTTTTTTCCTACTCTCTTTCTTTCTTTCTTCCTTCCTTCCTTCCTTCCTTCCTTCCTTTCCTTCTTTCTTTCTCTCCTTCCTTCTCCTTCCTTCCTTCCTTGCTTCCTGCCTTCCTTCCTTCTTTCCTTCCTTCCTTCTTTCCTTCCTTCCTTCCTCCCTCCCTCCCTCCCTCCCTCCCTCTCTCTTTCTTTCTTTCCCTTTTTATTCCTGTTTTTTTGGGGGGGGAGGAGAAGGGTTGAGACAGAATTTCTCTGTGTATCCCTGGCCGACTTGGAACTCGCTGTGTAGAGAGGGTGGTCTTGAACTCACAGAGATCTGCCTGCCTCTACCTCTAGAGTACTGGGATTAACGGCATGCTCCACCACCACCTGGCTTTTTTCTACTCATTTTCTTGACCAAGAGGACTTTATTTCTTCTGTTGCTTGATCTTAGGGTCCCTCCTCCTTCCAACTCCCCTCCCCCCACTGCTGCTGCAGTCAGAGGGACATGCAACCTGTATCCTCCTGCTGCTCCTTGGATTCCCTCACTCTCCTTTCTTCTTGGACCTTGGCTTCCTGACTGAAGAATAAAGGTATAATTCAATCTGTTCTCTATATATTTGGAAATGGACTCCAAGAGAGAGGAGGACAGCGAGCATGGAGACAGGGAGCCTGAACCCACAGGGTCAGTGCTGAGAAGCAGAGTTAGCAGAGGGGCAAAGATATCCAGCTCAGAGGCAGAGGGAGAAAAGTCTTTGCCCACTCCCAAACATTACACTAAGAGTTGGAGAACACAAAAGAGGAAAGACTCTTACCTTATTTCTCCTAGAAACAAAGGAAATATGCCAGGGCTGCTATCAGAGTCACCCCAGCCACAGATCCAACGACGATGCCGGCAATTGCACCCCCCGAGAGGCCAGAACTCCCTTGTGTTGTGTCAGCTGTCAGGGAAGGAAAAGACAAGAAGGAATGAAGTAAAAATGTTTTCCAGTGGTGTGCCTGGGGAATTCTTAGCATGAGATGATTTCTGTTCACCCTATTGGGGAATGTGTTTTCTGTGGGAATGTGAAGTGTGAGCTGAAGTGAGGGTCTCTTAGCAAGTGCCTCTCCACCCTCGCTGTGTCTCAGCTGTGGCAGCCATGAATAAGTGGTCACCTGTGGCCCCACTTCACTTCTTAGTCACTGACCAAAGGGAAATCAATGTCTCAATAAAGCACCACCCACATCTCTTAGGATGCACACCATTAAAATCACAGAAAGGAAACAAGAGCTTTGGAATATATAAAGGTATTAGAGCTCTGGGGCATTGCTCAATGGAAGGGTAAAATGTAACCATGAGACACAGCACTGCGACTCCTCAAAAGAGTAGAGAATTGCATTCAACTCAATAGCTACATCCAGGATTGTAGGGGTGGGATAGATTAAGAGAAATTTTGGAAGCAGACAACCATGGTGTTTACACAGCAGTATGAATATATCTTCTGCCACTGAGCTGAACATTTCAGAATTCTACAATGGCATATCTAAAAATTAAAGATAATTTCTACGTATGGGTATTTTGTCTCGTATTTCTCTGTACCACATGCACGCTTGGTACGCGAGGAGGACAATAGATGGTATTGAATTTCTTGGAACTCAGTTACAGACAGTAATAAGCTGCCATGTGGGTGCTGGGAATTGAACCCTCCTTTTGAAAGAGCAGCTAGTGCTCTTAACTGTTGAGTCAAATCTCCAATCCATATATATGTGTGTGTACATATATATACACACATGTATACCCATATATATGTATATATATATACAGACACACATATGTATACACATACACACACACATATATTATACACCACCAAAAAAAGTTAATGGAAAAGGAGTCTTGTGCAAGGAGGTCATGGTGTAAATGTCAGCATGAGGATCAGAAACTGAGTATATGGGCTAACAAGATGGGCCATCTGGTAAGAGAGCCTGCCATACTCCCCCCTGCCCGAGTATCTACTCCCAAATGTCACACATAAGTAAATGTACAAACAAATTTTGGCCAGTGAAATGCCTTAGCAGATAAAGGACAGGTTCACCCACCTTAACTCACTTCTCAGTCCCTGGGGAATTGGCTCCCAAAAATCACTTTCTGACCTCCACACATGGGCGTGGATCACACACACAAAATGAATAAATATGCAACTGTAGCACGAATCAATGCAGGTCCTTGCTATCTGTGGATTTTACATTTATGGAACAGACAAACCTTGGAAGTAAGCTACTTACATGCAATATGTCTACAGTGAAAAATGTATTGTTTCCTTCTGTTCTTTTCCCTTACTTAACACAATATAACCAGTGACTGAAGTATTCATATTAGGAGTAAGAAATAATCTAAAGAAGATTCTAATGTATGGGAGGGTTATAGAGTAAAATGAATATTTTCTACTTTCGGAGGGTTCACTGTGTGCTTGACTCAGACCCTAAACTCTTAATCACTTTGCATTCCTGTTGATGTATTGACCACATTGTTATAGTTTTAACAGAATCTCAAAGTGTAACATGTGCTGACGTTGTGCTCATATTCCTTCGGCTTCCAGCTCCCACCCTCCCCTCTCTCACAACAGTACCTCTTTATGCAGCCCTGACTAATCTGTAGCTCACTACAATGAAGAGGGCAGTTGGGATCGTAGACATCAACCTGTCTCTGTCTCTGTGTGCTGGCTGGGGTTCAAGGTGTGCAGCACCTTTCTCAGCTTGTGTGATGTTTATCATGAGATTAACATGCATCCATCACTAAACTGACTGTATTTGTATCTTTAATCATGTTTTTCTCCTCATGACTTTTACACATTTTGCAAACTGCTGATAAAGAATTTGCTCCACTCCGAACATTATAGAAAAAGAAGGGAGGGGAGGTCACTCACCTATTATGGTCAGATGGATGGGGTCACTCCTCTTAGAACTAACTGGATTGGAGACCTCACACTGATACTCCCCGGAATCCGCCCTCTTGACAGGGTCTATGCTGAGGATGCTGTTGTTCAGGGAAAGCTTCATTCTATCTGTGAGCTCCAGACTCTGGCCATTGAAGAGCCAATGGATGGAGATCCCGGTGTTGTTTGAGGAGCAGTTCAGGGACACAGAGTCCAGTTCTTTGACTGTGGTGTTTCTGATTTGGATGGAGGGTGTAGTCACTGGCTCTGTGGATAAATAGTGAAGGGGACAGTTGAGATTCCTTCATCCTCAGAGTTCTCAGCCAGCTCATAGGACCCACAGAATGACATGGATCACATGTTTGGATTCAAGATACAATCTGAAAAGAGAAAACTGGATCTTCTGCCTACCCAGACTCCCACATTGACCCTAGACTCAGGGTATGTGTGCAGGATCCACACTAAGAGACCCTTCAGTCCACATGTCCAGAAATCTCATGGAGGGAGAATGTTTTCCCCATTGATTTTTGTGCAAATTCTTGCTCACACTTTCTCTGAGTGTGAACAGTCAGGTCCCTCCATTATAAAACAGCCTTCTGTTCCTTTTTCATTAAATAATGTGTCATAGGATTCAGATGGTACAGCTAATCATAAAAGTGTTGAAGCCTACACTTGAGGGCTGGGAGATAACCAAAAACAGAATTTTTATTTGAGCCAGGCAGTGGTAACACATGCCTTTAATCCAAGCACTCAGGAGGCAGAGGGAGGTAGATCTCTGTGGGTTTAATGCTAGTCTGGTCTACTGAGTGAGTTCCAGGCAGGCACCAAAGTTACACAGTGAAACCCTGTCTCAAAAAAACCAATATAAATAAAAAAATAAAATAATTTCTTTGTGATGTTAAATTATTTCTGTTCATGGAGTACTAAACACCACAAGAAGACATGAATGACCACAGTGTTGACCACTGCCTGCCACACTAATCTTCCATACTGATTTTTGTTTTTGAAAACAGTCTCACAATGCAGCCCTGACTAACCTAGACCTCACTACAGAGTCCACAGTTGTTTGGTACCAATTGACATCCACCTGTCTCCACCTCCTGTGTGCTGGCTGGGGTTGTAGCCATGAAGCAACGTGCTCAGCTTGTGTGGTGTTTATCAAGAGATTAACATGAATCCATCTCTAAAATGACTGTATTTGAAGCATTTTTTCCTGTTTTTGTTTTTTTGAGATAGAGCTTATCTGTAACTTTAGAGTCTGTCCTAGAACTAACTTTTGCACCCAGGTTGGCATCGAACTCACAGGTATCCACCTGCCTCTCCCTCAGATTCCTGGGATTAAGGGCATGTACCACTACTGCCTGGCTGTATGTGAATATTGAGACTGTGTTTCTCCTGGTGTCTTTTACCCATTTTGCAAACTGCTAATGAAGAATTTGCCCCACCACCAACACTGTGGAGTAAGAAGGGACAGAGGTCACTCACCTATTATGGCCAGGTAAATGGAGTCACTCCTTTCAGAACTGACTGGATTAGAGACCTCACACTGATACTCCCCGGAATCCTCCCACTTGACAGGGTCAATGCTGAGGGTGCTGTTGTCCAGGGACAGATTCATTCTATCTGTGAGCTCCAGATTCTGGCCATTGAAGAGCCAATGAATGGAGATCCCAGTGTCGTTTGAGGAGCAGGTCAGGGACACAGAGTCCAGTACTTTGACTGTGGTGTTGCCAACGTGGATGGAGGGTGTAGTCACTGGCTCTGTGGATAAACAGTGGAGGGAACAGCTGAGAGTCTTTTACCCTCAAGATCTCACCCAGCTCACAGGGCCTACAGAATGACATGACTCCCTGGAAGATCGCATGTTTGGGTTCAAGATACAACCTGTAAAAGAGAGGACTGAACCTTCCTCCTACCCAGACTGCCCACAGTGATCTTCAACTCAGGGTACGTGTGCATGTTCCACACTAGGAATCCCTTCAGCCCCCATGACCACAAATCTCATGGAGGCAGAATGTTTTCACCATTGACTTTAGTGCAATTCTTTTTTTTTTTAATTTATTTATTTATTAAGGATTTCTGCCTCGTCCCCACAACCGCTTCCCATTTCCCTCCCCCTCCCCCGATCAAGTCCCCCCCCCCCCTCATCTGCTCGAAGAGCAATCAGGGTTCCCTGACCTGTGGGAAGCCCAAGGACTGCCCACCTCTATCCAGGTCTCGTAAGGTGAATAATTCAAACTGCCTAGGCTCCCACAAAGCCAGTACGTGCAGTAGGATCAAAAACCCACTGCAATTGTTCTTAAATTCTCAGTATTCCTCATTGTCCGCTATGTTCAGCTAGTCCGGATTTATCCCATGCTTTTTCAGACCTAGGCCAGCTGGCCTTGGTGAGATCCCAATAGAACATCCCCATTGTCTTAGTGTGTGGGTGCACCCCTCGTGGTCCTGAGTTCCTTGCTCGTGCTCCATCTCCTTCTGCTCCTGATTTGGACCTTGAGATTTCTGTCCGGTGCAATTCTTGTTCACACTTTCTATGAGTGTGAACAGTTAGGTCACTCTATTATAAAATAGAATTCTGTTTCTTTTTTATTAAAAAATGTGTAATGCGGTTCAGATGGCCCTGCTAATATTAAAGGTTTTGAAGCCTACACTTCAGGGCTGGGAGAAATCCCAAAATGGAATTTTTATTTTATCCAGGCAGTGGGAACACATGCCTTTAATCCAAGCACTCAGGAGGCAGAGGTAGGTAGATCTCTGTGAGTTTAATGACATTCTGGACTACTGAGTGAGTTCCAGGCAGGCACCAAAGTTATACAGTGAAACCCTGTCTCAGAAAATCCAAATATAAATAAATACAATAATTTCTGTTTGAAGGCAAACTTATTCCTGATCATTGAGTACTAAATACCAGAAAGAAGACGTGAATGTCCACAGTGTTGACCACTGCCTGCCGCTCTAATCATCCACACTGATTTTTGTTTTATTTACTTTTTTTTGAGAAATGGTCTCACTATGCAGCCCTGGCTAACCTAGACCTCATTACAAAGACCATTGTGGTTGGGAACTATTTGGCATCGACCTGTTTCTACCTCTGTTGTGCTGGCTGGGGTTGAAGCCATAAAGCACGTCCTCAGTTTGTGTGGTGTTTACCAAGAGATTAACATGAATCCATCACGAACATGACTATAATTGAGACCTTTTTATCTTTGGTTTTATGAGACAGAGTTTATGTGTAACCTTGGAGCCAGTCCTGGAACTATCTCCTGTAGATCAGGTTGGCCTCGAACTAGCAGCTATCCACCTGTGACTACTTCTGGATTGCTGGGAATAAAGCCATGTGCTGCTACTGCCTGCCTGTATTTGTATATTGGGACTGTTTTTCTCCTGGCGACTTTTACCCATTTTGCAAACTGCTGATGAAAAGTTGCCTCACCCCCAAAACTGTGGGGCAAGAAGGGAGGGGGGGTCACTCACCTATTATGTCCAGCTGGATGGAGTCACTCCTCTCAGAACTGACTGGATTAGAGACCTCACACTGATACTCCCCGGAATCCTCCCTCTTGACAGGGTCTATGCTAAGGGTACTGTTGTCCAGGGACAGCTTCATTCTATCTGTGAGCTCCAGACTCTGGCCATTGAAGAGCCAATGGATGGAGATCCCAGTGTTGTTTGAGGAGCAGTTCAGGGACACAGAGTCCAGTACTTTGACTGTGGTGTTGCCGACTTGGATGAAGGGTGTAGTCACTGGCTCTGTGGATAAACAGTGGAGAAGACAGTTGAGAGTCTTTTACCCTCAAGATCTCAGCCAGCTCACAGGGCCCACCAAATGACATGGCCCCCTGGAAGATCACATGTTTGGATTCAGGATACAACCTGTAAAGCAAGAGCTGAACCTTACTCCTACGCAGACTGCCCACAGTGATCTTCAACTCAGGGTATGTGTGCATGTTCCACACTAGGATTCCCTTCACCCCCATGCCAACAAATCTCATGGAGGGAGAATGTTTTACCCATTGACTTTTGTGTAAATTCTTGCTCACACTTTCTGTGAGTGTGAACAGTTAGGTCGCTCTATTGTAAAATAGAATTCTGTTTCTTTTTCATTAAATAATATGTAATGCGGTTCGGTTGGCCCAGCTAATCTTGAAGTTGTTAAACCCTACGCTTCATGGCTGGGAGAAACCGCAACCGAGGAATTTCTCTTTGAGCCGCACAGTGGTAACACATGCCTTTAATCTAAACAGTCATGAGGCAGATGTTGGTAGATCTCTGCGAGTTTAATGTCTGTCTGATCTACCGAGTGAGTTCGAGGCAGGCACCAAAGTTACACAGTGAAACCCTGTCTCAAAAAACCCAGATAAATAAATAAATAAATAAATAAAATAATTTCTGTTTGAAGGTAAACTTATTCCTGATCATGGAGTACTAAATACCACAAAGCAGACGTGAATATCCACAGTGTTGACCACTGCCTGCCGCTGTAATCATCCGTACTGATTTTTCTTTTTGAGAAATGGTCTCACAATGCAGCCCTGGCTAACCTAGACCTCACTACAAAGTCCACAGTTGTTTGGTACTCATTGACATCCACCTGTTTCCGTCTCCTGTGTGCTGGCTGGGGTTGTAGCCATGATGCAAAGTGCTCAGCTTGTGTGGTGTTTATCAAGAGATTAACATGTACCCATCACTAACATGACTGTATTTGAAGCATTTTCTCCTTGTTCTTTGAGACAGAGCTTATCTGTACCTCTGGAGTCTGTCCTAGAACTAGCTTTTGCAGACCAGGTTGGCATCGAACTCACAGGTATCCACCTGCCTCTCCCTCAGATTGCTGGGATTAAAGGCATGCACCACTACTGCCTGGCTGTATGTGAATATTGAGACTGTTTTCCTCCTGGTGACTTCTATCCATTTTGAAAACTGCTAATGAAGAATTTGTCCCACCCCCAACACTGTGGAGTAAGAAGGGACAGAGGTCACTCACCTATTATGGCCAGGTAAATGGAGTCACTCCTTTCAGAACTGACTGGATTAGAGACCTCACACTGATACTCCCCGGAATCCTCCCTCTTGACAGGGTCAATGCTGAGGGTGCTGTTGTCCAGGGACAGCTTCATTCTATCTGTGAGCTCCAGACTCTGGCCATTGAAGAGCCAATGGATGGAGATCCCAGTGTCGTTTGAGGAGCAGGTCAGGGACACAGAGTCCAGTTCTTTGACTGTTGTGTTGCCGACTTGGATGAAGGGTGTAGTCACTGGCTCTGTGGATAAACAGTGGAGAAGACAGTTGAGAGTCTTTTACCCTCAAGATCTCAGCCAGCTCACAGGGCCCACAGAATGACATGGCCCCCTGGAAGATCACATGTTTGGGTTCAAGATACAACCTGTAAAGAGAGAACTGAACCTTCCTCCTACCCAGACTGCCCACAGTGATCTTCAACTCAGGGTATGTGTGCATGTTCCACACTAGGTTTCCCTTTACCCCCATGCCCACAAATCTCATGGAGGGAGAATGTTTCCCCATTGACTTTTGTGCAAATTCTCGCTCAGACTTTCTGTAAGTGTGAACAGTCAGGTTCCTCCATTATGAAATATAATTCTGTTTCTTTTTTATTAAATAATGTGTCATGCGGTTCAGATGGCCCAGCTAATCTTCAAGGTGTTGAAACCTACACTTCAGGGCTAAGAGAAATCCCAAAATGGAATTTTTAATTTATCCCTGCAGTGGGAACACATGCCTTTTATCCAAGCAATCAGGAGGCAGAGGTAGGTAGATCTCTGTGAGTTTAATGCCATTCTGGACTACTGAGTGAGTTCCAGGCAGGCACCAAAGTTACACAGTGAAACCCTGTCTCAAAAAACCCAAATAAATAAATAAATAAATTAATTTCCGTTTGATGGTAAACTTATTCCTGATCACGGAGTACCTAATACAAGAAAGAAGACATGAATGGCCACAGTGTTGACCACTGCCTGCTACTCTAATCCTCCACACTGATTTTTGTTTATTTACTTTTTTGAGAAATGGTCTCACTATGCAGCCCTGGCTAACCTAGACCTCACTACAAAGACCACGGTGGTTGGGAACTATTTGGCATCGACCTGTTTCTACCTCTGTTGTGCTGGCTGGGGTTGAAGCCATACAGCACCGTCCTCAGTTTGTGTGGTGTTTATCAAGAGATTAACATTAATCCATCACGAACATGACTGTATTTGAGACCTTTTTTTCTTTGGTTTTATGAGACAGAGTTTATGTGTAACCTTGGAGCCAGTCCTGGAACTATCTCCTGTAGATCAGGCTGGCCTCGAAAAAGCAGAAATCCACCTGTGTCTACTTCGGGATTGCTGGGATTAAAGGCATGTGCTGCTACTGCCCGCCTGTATTTGTATATTGGGACTGTTTTTCTCCTGGTGACTTTTACCCATTTTGCAAACTGCTGATGAAAAGTTGCCTCACCCCCAAAACTGTGGGGCAAGAAGGGAGGGGAGGTCACTCACCTATTATATCCAGCTGGATGGAGTCACTCCTCTCAGAACTGACTGGATTAGAGACCTCACACTGATACTCCCCGGAATCCTCCCTCTTGACAGGGTCTATGCTAAGGGTACTGTTGTCCAGGGACAGCTTCATTCTATCTGTGAGCTCCAGACTCTGTCCATTGAAGAGCCAATGGATGGAAATCCCAGTGTTGTTTGAGGAGCAGTTCAGGGACACAGAGTCCAGTACTTTGACTGTGGTGTTGCCGACTTGGATGAAGGGTGTAGTCACTGGCTCTGTGGATAAACAGTGGAGAAGACAGTTGAGAGTCTTTTACCCTCAAGATCTCAGCCAGCTCACAGGGCCCACCAAATGACATGGCCCCCTGGAAGATCACATGTTTGGATTCAGGATACAACCTGTAAAGCAAGAGCTGAACCTTACTCCTACGCAGACTGCCCACAGTGATCTTCAACTCAGGGTATGTGTGCATGTTCCACACTAGGATTCCCTTCACCCCCATGCCAACAAATCTCATGGAGGGAGAATGTTTTACCCATTGACTTTTGTGTAAATTCTTGCTCACACTTTCTGTGAGTGTGAACAGTTAGGTCGCTCTATTGTAAAATAGAATTCTGTTTCTTTTTCATTAAATAATATGTAATGCGGTTCGGTTGGCCCAGCTAATCTTGAAGTTGTTAAACCCTACGCTTCATGGCTGGGAGAAACCGCAACCGAGGAATTTCTCTTTGAGCCGCACAGTGGTAACACATGCCTTTAATCTAAACAGTCATGAGGCAGATGTTGGTAGATCTCTGCGAGTTTAATGTCTGTCTGATCTACCGAGTGAGTTCGAGGCAGGCACCAAAGTTACACAGTGAAACCCTGTCTCAAAAAACCCAGATAAATAAATAAATAAATAAATAAAATAATTTCTGTTTGAAGGTAAACTTATTCCTGATCATGGAGTACTAAATACCACAAAGCAGACGTGAATATCCACAGTGTTGACCACTGCCTGCCGCTGTAATCATCCGTACTGATTTTTCTTTTTGAGAAATGGTCTCACAATGCAGCCCTGGCTAACCTAGACCTCACTACAAAGTCCACAGTTGTTTGGTACTCATTGACATCCACCTGTTTCCGTCTCCTGTGTGCTGGCTGGGGTTGTAGCCATGATGCAAAGTGCTCAGCTTGTGTGGTGTTTATCAAGAGATTAACATGTACCCATCACTAACATGACTGTATTTGAAGCATTTTCTCCTTGTTCTTTGAGACAGAGCTTATCTGTACCTCTGGAGTCTGTCCTAGAACTAGCTTTTGCAGACCAGGTTGGCATCGAACTCACAGGTATCCACCTGCCTCTCCCTCAGATTGCTGGGATTAAAGGCATGCACCACTACTGCCTGGCTGTATGTGAATATTGAGACTGTTTTCCTCCTGGTGACTTCTATCCATTTTGAAAACTGCTAATGAAGAATTTGTCCCACCCCCAACACTGTGGAGTAAGAAGGGACAGAGGTCACTCACCTATTATGGCCAGGTAAATGGAGTCACTCCTTTCAGAACTGACTGGATTAGAGACCTCACACTGATACTCCCCGGAATCCTCCCTCTTGACAGGGTCAATGCTGAGGGTGCTGTTGTCCAGGGACAGCTTCATTCTATCTGTGAGCTCCAGACTCTGGCCATTGAAGAGCCAATGGATGGAGATCCCAGTGTCGTTTGAGGAGCAGGTCAGGGACACAGAGTCCAGTTCTTTGACTGTTGTGTTGCCGACTTGGATGAAGGGTGTAGTCACTGGCTCTGTGGATAAACAGTGGAGAAGACAGTTGAGAGTCTTTTACCCTCATGATCTCAGCCAGCTCACAGGGCCCACAGAATGACATGGCCCCCTGGAAGATCACATGTTTGGGTTCAAGATACAACCTGTAAAGAGAGAACTGAACCTTCCTCCTACCCAGACTGCCCACAGTGATCTTCAACTCAGGGTATGTGTGCATGTTCCACACTAGGTTTCCCTTTACCCCCATGCCCACAAATCTCATGGAGGGAGAATGTTTCCCCATTGACTTTTGTGCAAATTCTCGCTCAGACTTTCTGTAAGTGTGAACAGTCAGGTTCCTCCATTATGAAATATAATTCTGTTTCTTTTTTATTAAATAATGTGTCATGCGGTTCAGATGGCCCAGCTAATCTTCAAGGTGTTGAAACCTACACTTCAGGGCTAAGAGAAATCCCAAAATGGAATTTTTAATTTATCCCTGCAGTGGGAACACATGCCTTTTATCCAAGCAATCAGGAGGCAGAGGTAGGTAGATCTCTGTGAGTTTAATGCCATTCTGGACTACTGAGTGAGTTCCAGGCAGGCACCAAAGTTACACAGTGAAACCCTGTCTCAAAAAACCCAAATAAATAAATAAATAAATTAATTTCCGTTTGATGGTAAACTTATTCCTGATCACGGAGTACCTAATACAAGAAAGAAGACATGAATGGCCACAGTGTTGACCACTGCCTGCTACTCTAATCCTCCACACTGATTTTTGTTTATTTACTTTTTTGAGAAATGGTCTCACTATGCAGCCCTGGCTAACCTAGACCTCACTACAAAGACCACGGTGGTTGGGAACTATTTGGCATCGACCTGTTTCTACCTCTGTTGTGCTGGCTGGGGTTGAAGCCATACAGCACCGTCCTCAGTTTGTGTGGTGTTTATCAAGAGATTAACATTAATCCATCACGAACATGACTGTATTTGAGACCTTTTTTTCTTTGGTTTTATGAGACAGAGTTTATGTGTAACCTTGGAGCCAGTCCTGGAACTATCTCCTGTAGATCAGGCTGGCCTCGAAAAAGCAGAAATCCACCTGTGTCTACTTCGGGATTGCTGGGATTAAAGGCATGTGCTGCTACTGCCCGCCTGTATTTGTATATTGGGACTGTTTTTCTCCTGGTGACTTTTACCCATTTTGCAAACTGCTGATGAAAAGTTGCCTCACCCCCAAAACTGTGGGGCAAGAAGGGAGGGGAGGTCACTCACCTATTATATCCAGCTGGATGGAGTCACTCCTCTCAGAACTGACTGGATTAGAGACCTCACACTGATACTCCCCGGAATCCTCCCTCTTGACAGGGTCTATGCTAAGGGTACTGTTGTCCAGGGACAGCTTCATTCTATCTGTGAGCTCCAGACTCTGTCCATTGAAGAGCCAATGGATGGAAATCCCAGTGTTGTTTGAGGAGCAGTTCAGGGACACAGAGTCCAGTACTTTGACTGTGGTGTTGCCGACTTGGATGAAGGGTGTAGTCACTGGCTCTGTGGATAAACAGTGGAGAAGACAGTTGAGAGTCTTTTACCCTCAAGATCTCAGCCAGCTCACAGGGCCCACCAAATGACATGGCCCCCTGGAAGATCACATGTTTGGATTCAGGATACAACCTGTAAAGCAAGAGCTGAACCTTACTCCTACGCAGACTGCCCACAGTGATCTTCAACTCAGGGTATGTGTGCATGTTCCACACTAGGATTCCCTTCACCCCCATGCCAACAAATCTCATGGAGGGAGAATGTTTTACCCATTGACTTTTGTGTAAATTCTTGCTCACACTTTCTGTGAGTGTGAACAGTTAGGTCGCTCTATTGTAAAATAGAATTCTGTTTCTTTTTCATTAAATAATATGTAATGCGGTTCGGTTGGCCCAGCTAATCTTGAAGTTGTTAAACCCTACGCTTCAGGGCTGGGAGAAACCGCAACCGAGGAATTTCTCTTTGAGCCGCACAGTGGTAACACATGCCTTTAATCTAAACAGTCATGAGGCAGATGTTGGTAGATCTCTGCGAGTTTAATGTCTGTCTGATCTACCGAGTGAGTTCGAGGCAGGCACCAAAGTTACACAGTGAAACCCTGTCTCAAAAAACCCAGATAAATAAATAAATAAATAAATAAAATAATTTCTGTTTGAAGGTAAACTTATTCCTGATCATGGAGTACTAAATACCACAAAGCAGACGTGAATATCCACAGTGTTGACCACTGCCTGCCGCTGTAATCATCCGTACTGATTTTTCTTTTTGAGAAATGGTCTCACAATGCAGCCCTGGCTAACCTAGACCTCACTACAAAGTCCACAGTTGTTTGGTACTCATTGACATCCACCTGTTTCCGCCTCCTGTGTGCTTGCTGGGGTTGTAGCCATGATGCAAAGTGCTCAGCTTGTGTGGTGTTTATCAAGAGATTAACATGTACCCATCACTAACATGACTGTATTTGAAGCATTTTCTCCTTGTTCTTTGAGACAGAGCTTATCTGTACCTCTGGAGTCTGTCCTAGAACTAGCTTTTGCAGACCAGGTTGGCATCGAACTCACAGGTATCCACCTGCCTCTCCCTCAGATTGCTGGGATTAAAGGCATGCACCACTACTGCCTGGCTGTATGTGAATATTGAGACTGTTTTCCTCCTGGTGACTTCTATCCATTTTGAAAACTGCTAATGAAGAATTTGTCCCACCCCCAACACTGTGGAGTAAGAAGGGACAGAGGTCACTCACCTATTATGGCCAGGTAAATGGAGTCACTCCTTTCAGAACTGACTGGATTAGAGACCTCACACTGATACTCCCCAGAATCCTCCCTCTTGACAGGGTCTATGCTAAGGGTACTGTTGTCCAGGGACAGCTTCATTCTATCTGTGAGCTCTAGACTCTGTCCATTGAAGAGCCAATGTATGGAGATCCCAGTGTTGTTTGAGGAGCAGTTCAGGGACACGGAGTCCAGTACTTTGACTGTGGTGTTGCCGACTTGAATGGACGGTGTAGTCACTGGCTCTGTGGATAAACATTGGAGAAGACAGTCGAGAGTCTTTTACCCTCAAGATCTCAGTCAGCTCACAGGGCCCACCAAATGACATGGCCCCCTGGAAGATCACATGTTTGGGTTCAAGATACAACCTGTAAAGAGAGAGCTGAACCTTCCTCCTACACAGACTGCCCACAGTGACCCTCCACTCAGGGTATGTGTGCATGTTCCACACTAGGATTCCCTTCAGCCCTCATGACCACAAATCTCATGGAGGGAGAATGTTTCCCCCATTGACTTTTGTGTAAATTCTTGCTCACACTTTCTGTGAGTGTGAACAGTTAGGTCGCTCTATTATAAAATAGAATTCTGTTTCTTTTTCATTAAATAATATGTAATGCGGTTCGGTTGGCCCAGCTAATCTTGAAGGTGTTGAACCCTACGCTTCAGGGCTGGGAGAAACCGCAACCGATAAATTTCTCTTTGAGCCAGGCAGTGGTAACACATGCCTTTAATCTAAACAGTCATGAGGCAGATGTTGGTAGATCTCTGCGAGTTTAATGTCTGTGTGATCTACCGAGTGAGTTCGAGGCAGGCACCAAAGTTACACAGTGAAACCCTGTCTCAAAAAACCCAGATAAATAAATAAATAAATAAATAAATAAATAAATAAAATAATTTCTGTTTGAAGGTAAACTTATTCCTGATCATGGAGTACTAAATACCACAAAGCAGACGTGAATATCCACAGTGTTGACCACTGCCTGCCGCTGTAATCATCCGTACTGATTTTTCTTTTTGAGAAATGGTCTCACAATGCAGCCCTGGCTAACCTAGACCTCACTACAAAGTCCACAGTTGTTTGGTACTCATTGACATCCACCTGTCTCCGCTTCCTGTGTGCTGGCTGGGGTTGTAGCCATGATGCAACGTGCTCAGCTTGTGTGGTGTTTATCAAGAGATTAACATGAATCCTTCACTAACATGACTGTATTTGAAGCATTTTTCCTTGTTTTTTGAGACAGAGCTTATCTGTACCTCTGGAGTCTGTCCTAGAACTAGCTTTTGCAGACCAGGTTGTCATCGAACTCACAGGTATCCACCTGCCTCTCCCTCAGATTGCTGGGATTAAAGGCATGCACCACTACTGCCTGGCTGTATTTGAATATTGAGACTGTTTTTCTCCTGGCAAGACTTTTACCCATTTTGCAAACTGCTAATGAAGAATTTGCCCCACCCCCAACACTGTGGAGTAAGAAGGGACAGAGGTCACTCACCTATTATGGCCAGGTAAATGGAGTCACTCCTTTCAGAACTGACTGGATTAGAGACCTCACACTGATACTTCCCTGAATCCTCCCTCTTGACAGGGTCTATGCTGAGGTTGCTGTTGTTCTGGGACAGCTCCATTCTATCTGTGAGCTCCAGACTCTGGCCATTGAAGAGCCAATGGATGGAGATCCCAGTGTTGTTTGAGGAGCAGGTCAGGGACACAGAGTCCAGTTCTTTGACTGTGGTGTTGCCGACTTGAATGGAGGGTGTAGTCACTGGCTCTGTGGATAAACAGTGGAGAAGACAGTTGAGAGTCTTTTACCCTCAAGATCTCAGCCAGCTCACAGGGCCCACAGAATGACATTGCCCCCTGGAAGATCACATGTTTGGGTTCAAGATACAACCTGTAAAGAGAGAACTGAACCTTCCTCCTACCCAGACTGCCCACAGTGATCTTCAACTCAGGGTATGTGTGCATGTTCCACACTAGGATTCCCTTCAGCCCCCATGCCCACAAATCTCATGGAGGGAGAATGTTTCCCCCATTGACTTTTGTGTAAATTCTTGCTCACACTTTCTGTGAGTGTTAACAGTTAGGTCACTCTATTATAAAATAGAATTCTGTTCCTTTTTTTATTAAATAATGTGTCATGGTGTTCAGATGGCCCAGCTAATCTTGAAGGTGTTGAAGCCTACACTTCAGGGCTGGGAGAAACTGCAACCATTCAGGGCTGGGAGCAACCCAACCGAGAAATTTCTCTTTGAGCCGGGCCGTGGTAACACATGGCTTTATTCTAAGCAGTCATGAGGCAGATTTGGTAGATCTCTGCGAGTTTAATGTCTGTCTGATCTATCATGTGAGCTCCAGGCAGGCACCAGAGTTACACAGTGAAAGTCTGTCTCAGAAAAACAAAATAAAAAAAAATAAAATAATTTCTGTTTGAAGGTAAACTTATTCCTGATCATGGAGTACTAAATACCACAAAGCAGACGTGAATGTCCACTGCCTGCCGCTCTCAACTTCCACACTGATACACTGATTTTTTTTTTTTTTTGAGAAACGGTCTCACTATGCAGCCCTGGTTAACCTAGATCTGACTACAAAGTCCAAGTTGTTTGGTAGTCATTGACATCCACCTTTCTCCGCCTCTTGTGTGCTGGCTGGGGTTGTAGCCATGAAGCACTGTGTTCAGGTATGTGGTGTTTATCAAGAGATTAACATGTACCCATAACTAACATGACTGACTGTATTTGAAGCATTTTCTCCTTATTCTTTGAGACAGAGGTTATCTGTAACTCTGGAGTCTGTCCTAGAACTAGTTTTGCAGACCAGGTTGGCTTCGAATCACAGACATCCACCTGCCTCTCCCTCAGATTGCTGGGATTAAAGGCATGCACCACTACTGCCTGGCTGTATTTGAATATTGAGACTGTTTTTACACTGGTGACTTTTACCCATTTTGCAAACTGCTAATGAAGAATTTGCCCCACCCCCACCACTGTGGGTCAAGAAGGGACAGAGGTCACTCACCTATTATGTCCAGCTGGATGGAGTCACTCCTTTCAGAACTGACTGGATTGGAGACCTCACACTGATACTTCCCGGAATCCTCCCTCTTGACAGGGTCTATGCTGAGGTTGCTGTTGTTCAGGGACAGCTTCATTCTATCTGTGAGCTCCAGACTCTGGCCATTGAAGAGCCAATGGATGGAAATCCCAGTGTCGTTTGAGGAGCAATTCAGGGACACAGAGTCCAGTTCTTTGACTGTGGTGTTGCCGACTTGGATGAAGGGTGTAGTCACTGGCTCTGTGGATAAACAGTGGAGAAGACAGTTGAGAGTCTTTTACCCTCAAGATCTCAGTCAGCTCACAGGGTCCACAGAATGACATGGCCCCCTGGAAGATCACATGTTTGGGTTCAAGATACAACCTGTAAAGAGACAACTGAAACTTCCTCCTACCCAGACTGCCCACAGTGATCTTCTACTCAGGGTATGTGTGCATGTTCCACACTGGGAGTCCCTTCACCCCCATGACCACAAATCTCATGGAGGGAGAATGTTTTCCCCATTGATTTTTGTGCAAATTCTTACTCAGACTACCTGTAAGTGTGAACAGTCAGGTTCCTCCATTATGAAATAGAATTCTGTTTCTATTTTATTAAATAATGTGTCATGTGGTTCAGATGGCCCAGCTAATCTTGAAGGTGTTGAAACCTACACTTCAGGGCTGAGAGAAATCCCAAAATGGAATTTTTATTTTATCCAGGCAGTGGGAACACATGCCTTTTATCCAAGCAATCAGGAGGCAGAGGTAGGTGAGTTTAATGCCATTCTGGACTACTGAGTGAGTTCCAGGCAGGCACCAAAGTTACACAGTGTAACCCTGTCTCAAAAAACCCAAATAAATAAATAAATAAAATAATTTCTGTTTGAAGGTAAACTTATTCCTGATCATGGAGTACTAAATACCAGAAAGAAGACATGAATGTCCACAGTGTTGACCACTGCCTGCCGCTCTAATCATCCACACTGATTTTTGTTTTATTTACTTTTTTGAGAAATGGTCTCACTATGCAGCCCTGGCTAACCTAGATCTCACTACAAAGACCTTGGTGGTTGGGAACTATTTGGCATCGACCTGTTTCTACCTCTGTTGTGCTGGCTGGGGTTGGAGCCATACAGCACCGTCTTCAGTTTGGGTGGTGTTTATCAAGAGATTCACATGAATCCATCACCAACATGACTGTATTTGAGACCTTTTTTTCTTTGGTTTTATGAGATAGAGTTTATCTGTAACCTTGGAGCCAGTCCTGGAACTATCTCCTGTAGATCAGGTTGGCCTCGAACTAGCAGCTAACCACCTGTGTCTACTTCCGGATGCTGGGATTAAAGGCATGTGCTGCTACTGCCTGCCTGTATTTGTATATTGGGACTGTTTTTCTCCTGGTGACTTTTACCCATTTTGCAAACTGCTGATGAAATTTTGCCCCACCCCCAACACTGTGGGGTAAGAAGTGAGGGGAGGTCACTCACCTATTATATCCAGTTGGATGGAGTCACTCCTCTCAGAACTGACTGGATTAGAGACCTCACACTGATACTCCCCGGAGTCCTCCCTCTTGACAGGGTCTATGTTTAGGGTACTGTTGTCCAGGGACAGCTTCATTCTATCTGTGAGCTCCAGACTCTGGCCATTGAAGAGCCAATGGATGTAGATCCTAGTGTCATTTGAGGAGCAGTTCAAGGACACAGAGTCCAGTACTTTGACTGTGGTGTTGCCCACTTGAATGGAGGGTGTAGTCACTGGCTCTGTGGATAAACATTGGAGAAGACAGTTGAGAGTCTTTTACCCTCAAGATCTCAGTCAGCTCACAGGGCCCACAGAATGACATGGCCCCCTGGAAGATCGCATATTTGTGTAAATGAAACAATCTGTAAAGAGAGAGCTGAATTTTCCCCCTGCCCAGATCACCCACAGTGACCCTCGACTCAGGCTATGTCTGCAGGTTCCACACTAGGATTCCCTTCAGCCCACATGTCTACAAATCTCATGGAGGGAGAATGTTTTCCCCATTGACTTTTGTGCAAATTCTTGCTCACACTTTTTCTGAGTGTGAACAGTCAGATCCCTCCATTATAAAATATCCTTGTGTTTCTTTTTTATTAAATAATGTGTCATGGGATTCAGAATGCCTAGCTAATCTTAAAGGTGTGGAATTCTACACCTCAACCGAGTAAAATCCCAAAGCAAGGAATTTTTATATTGACTGGCAAGTGTTGCCACACACTTTTAAGCCCAGCCCTCAGGAGTCAGAGGTGGGAGGATATCTTTGAATTCAAGGCCAGCCTGGTCTACAGAGTGAGTTCCCTGAAGGCACAGAGAAATCCTATGTCAAAAAAAAAAAAAACCAAAATAAACAAATAAATAAGGAAAGAAAGAAAGAAACAAAGAAAGAGAATTTATGTGGAGAGAAATCTTAGTCCTGCTGCTTGGAGATGGATTAAAAACCACAGAGAAGACGTTAATGGCCACAGCGTTGACCACAGCCTGCCGCTCTTATCCACAATACTGATTTTTTTTGAGACAGGGTCTCACTCTCCAGTCCTGGCTAGCCTGGAACTTGGTATGTAGACCAGGCTGGCCCTAAACTGAAAGAGATCCAACTGCGTCAGCCTCCAAATGCTAGGACTAGGGTCTGCCATCCTTGGATCTCCCCACAGAGTACCTGAACACTTTCTTGTGCACTCGACAGAGGAGTCTCTGTTCTCCAAACAAGTGCAGTTCACTGTTCTCAGCAGTCACCCCCTGTGCTGGTGGCCAGACACAGTTCAGCGCCAACTAACCTGAAGGCCACCTTTCCACTTACCCTTCCTGACCTCAAGCACTCTGATGTACACCAGTGAAATTTTATTTTACTTTGCTTTTTAATTTTTCCTTTTTATTTTTCGTTGAGGGAGGGTCTCACTTGTAGGTTTGACTGACCTGGAATTTGCTACGTAGACCAGGTTGGCCTTGAACTCATGTTGTTTACCTGCCTCTCCCTCCTTAGTACTGGGCATTAAGGGTGTGTACCACCACACTCAGTTGAGTTTTGTTTTTGTTTTTCTAGACAGGGTTTCTCTGTGTTCTAGCAGTCCTGGAAATAGCTTTCTTAGATAAGGATGGCACTGAACTCATGAAGGTCCTCCTGCCTCTGCCACCCACTTGTTGGGATTAATGGCATGCCCCTTTACCACCCAGCTCAACATTTGTTTTTTAAAACTTGAGAAGAATAAGGGAAAGAGCATCATTAAGTCATCATTGACATGGTTTACCCTGAGTCAGAACCAGGGTCCCAGGTGCCTTCTCCACCCTCTCTTCCCCTTCCATGGAGTCAGAGCTCAGCCAGTCACCCCTGAGACAGGAGCAGAGCTGGGAGCAGAGCTCTGAGCTGCTGGTCCCCATCTGTGGGGAGTGAGTTTTCTCTTCACAATGGGGAAAAAGAATGTGAGCACAGTAAAGCCCCGGGTGTTCCTCCAAGTCATGGAGGTCATAAGAAGAAAATGGAGGAGACAGGAAGGCCTGTGTTAGTGACAGAAGTAAATCTTGACCTTAAGGCTCTCCCTCCCATGGGAAGTCCCTCCCACAACCTGAGGTATCCAAGGCTGGGAGAAGTTCCTCCTCACATTCCAAGCTCCATCCCTATCAGCCTTAGGAGAAGATCAGACATAGGGATGGAGCAGGATGTTCAGGAGAGAATGGAGTTTTGCTTGTTTCCATTACATGGGCTGGAAATTCAATTCTTCTGTGTCTTCCCAGAAAGCCAAAAGACTCCACTCCAAACCTGGTGCTGATATTTAAAGATCCACTTACCAAGGACTGTAATGTTCTTGACTGTGGTCTTATTGAGGCCAGTGACAGAGTTATAGACGAAGCAGGTATAGGTTCCACTATCATTAGTAGTGATGTTGGGGATAAAGAGCTCTTGAGGGGATGACAGGAGCTCTCCATTGACAAACCAAGAGTACAGCGCGGGTGGGTTAGAGGCTGCTTGACAGGAGAGGCTGAGGTTTCTTCTTGAATGGAAATGAGTATTTGAGGGGGATATGATCGGGACATCTGGACCATCTGGAGCAAACAGAATAAAGGCATATATGATGTCAGCAGAGAGAAGGCAATCCTGGTCTGCAGAAGGTCATAGTATCTCTCTGAGCTCTGCTATAACCTCAGCTGAGCAGGTCCCACCCAGAGCTGGGGTGCAGATTAGTAGAAGAGTATTCATGCAGCAGGCAAAAGTCCTGATCCATCTCGAGCACAGCACACAAACATCCCCACTGCATACTCGAGTGTGCACTGAGCCTGAGTCTGTGCTGTCCCCTGTCTCCATCACCCTGTGCCTCAAACCCATTCCAGCTCAATACTGGCTGCATGTATCTGGGCTGGATCAGGAGGCCCTGGTCAGCCTAGGTATCTGTGTGATGGGTTTGTGTCACCAACCCAAGGGGACCAAGTGTTCTAGCTCTAACTGTCTGTATTTAGGCAGCTGTAAAAAGGATGAAACAGATAATACTCACAGGTAATGTTCAGAGTGAATGGGTCACTTCGGGAGGTGCTCACTGGGTTCCGGGTTTCACACTCATAGGGTCCTGTGTCATTCCTCACAACACTGAGTAAAGTGAGAGTCCTGTTGTCCTCAGACAGCTTCAGCCTGTCACCTTCTGAGAGGCTTTGGCCATTTCTCCTCCACAGGTAGTTTGTATTCTCAGTCTCAGGCTCACACATGAATGCTACTGAGTCCTCACCCTCCATGGGATTGGGATTGTTGCTTGTGATGCTGGGTTTGGGTAGCGGTGCTGTGTGTGCAGACAACAGAGAGAAGGTTGCCCTGAGTGGTGCCTCTGATTCTTGCAAGGGCCTCTTTCAACAGAGATTGTCTCCTATCTCCCCTTCAAACCCCCATTCTCAAAGAATCAGGCAGGAAACAAATTACAGGCAGATGGAGTAGCTGAGCTCTCAGAGACTATGGGGCCTCCTGTGCTGTGTATGGGAGAAGCAAGGGCTTTCCTAGGAGGGAATTGAGCTACAGTGTGTGGTGATGGACAGACTTGAGACTTGGAATCAGAGACCTCATGTTATCTCCTGGTCCTCATTGACACATTGCATGTCTTGGGACACAATGTGTGAGTCCCTCCAGCTGCCCTGACCTCCACTGCTCAGTGAGGACCAGTGCCCTCCAAGCCTTTGCTGCTTAGGGTTCTCCTACAGAAAGGTCATGATTGGTCTTCCCATTGAGTTCCCTGAGAACCTGACAGCCAGTCAGAGATCCCACACAGATCAGGATCTGGTTAGCATTCAGGTCAGCCTGGGCTTCACCTGGGCCATTCTTGTCAGAAGTTTGATATTGATTGACATGAATCATGGAATCATAAAAGAACCCCAAGTCTAGGAAATGATCTAGAAGACTCCCGGGCACCTAATAGAGTCTCCATGGTGGGAAGGCTGGAGATGTGGCTGTTGACAGATAGCTTGTGCCACCCATGGCTTGTGTGACCCTGACTCTTTGACTGTGTTTCCTGTCTCAGTTTCCCTAGAATAGGACACAGGGTAAATGATCGTTGCCATGCCTACTAGTTCACCTTAAATGTGAGCAATGACCTGACTTTCCACCAAGCAGTGTCTCTTATTATTTGCCTGCAGGAAAGAATCCCTTGGCTGGACCACTGGAGGCAGGGAACTGCCATTTGTACACTTTTCTCCCGTCTCTTTAAGGCTCTCCACCTTCCTGCGAGGTCTCAGAAGACCATCAGGACAGCCGGCTGGTTGTCTTTCATACCCCTCCACCTATGCTGAGCACACTGAGTCTCAGGAGGAGATGCTCAGGTGACCTGCCTCAGACATGGCTCTCACAGGCTGAGGGTCAGCCGGCTACCAGCCTACAATCAATCATTGTCTCCTGTCAGCTCCAACAGGAGGTAAATTCCAAACTAGTCTTCAAGCTTCCCAGGATTCCTAGTCCAGTCTGGGACAGAGATCTGGAGCAAACCTTCTGGTGTTCATTTCTCTGTGAAAATCTCATGGTTTCCTCAACCAGGCCCTGCCTGAGTCCTGAAGGGTCTTTCTCAAGGCCATGTTCATGATGAGCATCTAAGACCCTGGGCAGAGTCTGAGATGCCTGGGCTGAGTTACCTCACCCCACTCTGAGGGTGGATTCAAGTGAGGGATCCTGATTTATTGCTGTTTCCTCCACTCCGTGTCCTTTACTAAAGGCTTGAGCCACAATGTGGGGACCATAACACAGTCATCCAGCACTGACAATTCTATGTGTGAAGTAGGATTAAGTCCACCCATGACCCAGAGGTTACAAAGAATTACTTACGGTGGACATGGAACTGCACGGATACTTTCGTACGATCAAAGCTTTGCATTACCATTTGCAACGTGTAGGCTCCGGTGTCATTCTGAGTGACGTTCTCAAAGAGCAGGGATCCATTGGGGTATATTGTCTCTCTGCCACTGTATGCAGGTCCTGCTGTATTTGCATTATCTGACAGTATAAAACGTGCAATTTCGTTACTGTTATCCGGATTTTCTCCCTTGTGCCAGTAAAATACTAGGGGTGTCTCTGTCAGATTGTGAACAAGTAGAAGAACATTCGCGCCTTCAGCAACGTGGGGTGGAACTGCTTCCACAATGACTTGGGCCGTGGTGGGAGAGCTCCAGTAGATCAAAAGTGAGGCTAAGAGAGAAGAGAGAAAAATCTATCAATATTAGATCTTTGCATTTGGTAGAAATTGAGACCTGAGTGTGTTCAACTCTCAGCCTTGGTGTGTGTGTGTCCTACTGGGGGGAGGTCAGCAGCATCACCCCCATTCCTCAGTACCCCTAAATCTTTCCACTGAATGAAACTGTCTTCTCAGGTGTCTACACAGCCAGCCCCTCACTCCCTTAGATCCCTGCTCACACTCAGAATCTTTGGTGAGTGTAGGCATGTCTTCTCTGACCTCCTCCTCTAAAGACTCTGAGCATTCTTTTTCTGACCTTCCCAGCTCTATTTCTTCTGAAATCCTTGTCAATCCCAATCCCACCTTCTAGATTTCCTTGCTACTCTGTCTTCCTGCTCAGTAGCACTAGGACTCTGTGAGGAGAACTGGTTTGATTTTGGTTTAAACCCCACTGCCTGGAACATGGACACCTGTGAGCAAATCACTGTCCCAGAGCCTGGGGTTTATGTGCAGGGTCGTATTTATGAAATGACCTTGTTTACTGGCCCCAGTTTGAGTTTTACTTGGAGAGTCACCCTGACACAGTTGTGGGAGTCAGTCTTCAGGGTACAGAGGCCAGTACTGATAAACTTGCAGTGGGGAACCCCTGAGTTTTCCTCCCCACTTACCAATTCACATTCTCTGCGAACTTCCTGTTGCTCTCAGGCTTCAAGCAGAAGCCAGATGTCTCCTCTCAGGCACTGTTCCCCTCCCAGAAGACCCCATCCAGTCTCTGAGCTCCCCTGCTGTCCACACCCCCTGAGGAATGTCTCCTCACCTGCCAGCAGGAGTCCCCTCCAGGGTAGCTGCCCTTTGTGGAGAAGGGCTGAGGAGAGCTCCATGTCTCTGCTGTGGCCTAGGCTCTTCCTCTGGACAGGAGGTTTGCCTCTCAGGCTGCTGTCTGCTCTTGTGGCTGCTCTGCTTTTATTCTCAGACCTGAGCCTCCTCCCTGAGGAGGACACCTCCTGGAGTCACATGGCCTGGGGTGGAGTCTGTGTGTCAGTCAGTTCTGCCTCTCATCCTTCTATTTCTTTCTTTCTGGTTTATTGTTCTAGAACATTCTTTGTGCCACAATGTTGAGAAGTGTCCTGTGCCCCTAGAGAACAGCAGCTCACCCCAGGGCCTTGTCCCTGCACTTCCTATAGCCAAGAGTGTATTTCCTTGTGACCCAAAAACCCAGCAGAGCCCAGTCTGTCCTGTTTCTCAATGCCCTGGGGAAGTGGGAGTTACTCTGGGGATGGAGTGGCAATAATCTCTAGGGACAAGAAAAGGTCTGAGTGATGACTGGGGAGGGACCAGATCCATGGTCACTGCTGTCACCAGTCAGGTGTCTCATCCTGGGATAAAAGTTATCTCAGGGGTTCACATCCTGGTGTGCGGGAGGAGGTGACCTGTGTCCTAGAAAGAGTACTGTGTGCTCCAGCTTCCTATGTAGGTTCCCAGGGAGACACCCCTTCCCCCAGCTTCCTGTATTGTCTGAATGTGATTCAGGTCTGCCCATGCCCTCCCTGTCCCTTCTGGGATGTCTTTGTTCTCCTTGGTGAAGGCCCTGTGACCTCCCCATCTTTCCTCATGGGTGTTGTGATGGGGAGGGGACTACATAGGGTCTCCTTGTAGAGTTGGGTTCTCAGAGACACAGGAAATGATTATGTGAGTGAGCTCCCGGTCTGTTGGAACTGGGATGGAGACAAAGCTGCAAGACTTGTTCAGGCCTCAGGGAGCTTCCCTCTTGATTATGTGGTTTCTTGTTGCTCCCTGGTGTCCATGAGGAGACCTGCAGCTCATGTCTGTGCTGTCACAAGGATGGTAGCAAAGCTCCAAAGGCTGTAGTGGAGCTGGGCACCAAGTTTCCCTGGGAAGGTCCCAGTGTGCAGCTGCCTTTGAGTTAGATTTTACCTGGGTGAGCTGGTGTCTCACAGAATTTTTAATTTGCATTTCCCTGATGAGCAGGGGTCACCGTTTTCCTGAGTTTTACAGTTGTTTACTCTGAACACAAAAGCCATATCATACATAACTTACAAATATGTTTTTCTGTTCTGTAGGGTGTCCTTCCAGTTTGTCGTTTTAATTCATAAACTTGCTGTCTGAGGGTTGATATTGCTGTGATGAAACACCATGATCAAAAGGAACTTGAGGGAGGAATGAGTTTATTTAGCTTATACTTCCTGATCACTGTTCATCACTGAAGGAAGTCAGGACAGTAACTGAAAGAAAGCAGGAACCTGGATGCAGAAGCTGATGCAGAGGCCATGGAGGGTACTGCTTCTTCTTGCTCCTCATGGCTTTCTTACAGAAACCAGGATCACGAGCCCAGGGATGATTCCACCCACAATGGGCTTTTCCCATCAGTCACTAATTAAGAAAATGCTCTTCAGTCTTGTCTATGGCCTGATATTAAGGAGGCATATTCTCATTTAGTGTTCTTACATGACTCTACCCTGTGTCAAGTAGATGTAAAATTATCTAGTACACTCACTAAGTAAATTTGACAAAAGCATGAACGTCAATACTCTTTCATAAAACCAACTTTATAACTTTAGATTTTTTAAAAAAAATAATTTATTTATTCTTATTTTATGCACATTGGTGTTTTTCCTGCTTGTTTGTCTCTGTGAGGATGTCAGAACTTAAGAGTTACTGACAGTTGTCAGCTGCCATGTGGGTGCTGGTAACTGAACCCAGGGACTCTGGAAGAGCAGCCAGTGCTGTTAACTGCCGAGACATCTCTCCCCCCAACTTTAGTTTTCCATACTAAAATTTCTAGAATTTAAAAACCTATCCATATTTCACATGCTTAAATTTTCAAAATATTTTTAAAGTTAAAAAATACTTTTGTGTCTTTTAAAAATTTAAAAATATTTTTGTGTCCTTTTGTTTCTCAGAAAGCCTTTGGAAAGTAGATCAGTTCTCTGTTCCTTTTTTCCCTTTTAAGGTTTCAAAGAAAAGGTCAGGAGGAAATTTTGTGTTCTGAGTATTTTTCTTTTTCTTCAAAGAGTGAAGAGAATTGGAGCCACTACTTTAAAAAAATATTTCAAATTCATTATCTAACAATTTCATATGCAATCTGGCACACACACACATATAAATGTATTTTTGTCATGGGTAACCCCTTCACTCTCTCATCAATTCCCATTCCTGCTGAACCCTTCTTCCTAAAATGCTCTTCTACTAGAACCTCCACATTGGGACAAAACCCTAGGCCCATCCACCAACTCCCTAGGCTTTTCTAGGCACCCAGCATGGAGTTTCCTGTGGATAGATCGCTCCAAAATTCAAACCTATCCAGAGGCCCATCCAAACTACTAGCCACACTCCGCCCCCAACCTGCCTATCTTCCTGCAGCCTTGGTGGCACTCTGAAACACAGCTTGCTCCAATACTGAGGGAACTTAAGGGGTGAGTAAACAGCCACATGGTGGGACATCCCACTCTTTAAGACCTCCACAGTAGAACAAAACTCCAGGCGCCTCTCCCAACTCTCTAGGCTTTTCTAGCCAGCCAGCACGGAGTTTCCTTCTGGTAGGCTCCCCCCAAACCCAAACCCATCCACTGGACCCACAAGCTACAAGCCACACTCTGCCTAGGAGCTGAGAGCTTGCTATAATACTGAGGGGACCAAGAGCTTTATACAACATTGAGAGGATTACGAGAGAACACCAAGAGAACAAACCAGGAGGTAAGACGAAGAGTGCATGCTTAGAGAGACCTCAGAGACTTTCTGAGACAGACATTGACAGTACGAAGCAGACCAAGAAAAACTCCCAAAAACTCAGACAGCCACGGCAAGGATTTCACCAAGACGTAAAGACCCTGTTGGCATCATTTGAAGAAAGAGATGGGTAGGCGTCAATGCAAGAATTCCTCCAATAACCTGAAAAGCAACATGGTAACACCAGAACCCAGTAGTCACACAACAGGAAGACTTGATCATCTTAACTCAGAAGAAGTAGAAAACAACTTTAAATGTAACTTTATGAAAATGATGGAGACCTTTAAAGAGGAAATGAAAAACTCCCTTAGAAAAATGGAGGAAAAGACAAACAAAAAAAATGGAAGAAATCAATAAATTCCTCAAAGAAAACCAAGAAAAAAACCCCAATCAATCACGTGAAGCAAACTGTTCAAGACTTGAAAACTGAAATAGAAGCAATAAAGAAAACACAAACCGAGGGAATCCTGGATATGAATAAACAGGGAAAATAAATAGGAACTACAGAGACAAGAGATAGAAGAAAGACAATCAGGTGCTAAATATACTATAGAAGAAATAGACTCATTGATCAAAGAAAATATTAAATCCAACAGATTCTTAACACAGAACATTCAGGAAATCTGGGATACCATGAAAAGACCAAACCTAAGAGTAATAGCGGTAGAAGAAGGAGATGAACTGCAGCTCAACGGCACAGAAAATATATTCAACAAAATGATAGAAGAAAACTTTTACAACACAAAGGAGGATATCCTTATGAATGTTGAAGAAGCTTACAGAACACCAATAGACTGGGTAAAAAAAATCTACCCACCATATAAAAATCAAACACAAAACATACAGAATAAATAAAGAATATTAAGAGCTACAAAGGAAAAAAGGTCAAGTAACATATAAAGATAAACCTATCAGAATTACACCTGACTTCTCAATGGAAATCATGAAATTCAGAAAGTCCTGGACTGATGTGCTGCAGACACTAAAGAGACAATGGATGCAAGCCCAGACTGTTATAATCAGCAAAGATTTCAGTCACCATCAAAGGAGAAAACAAGATATTCCAAGAGAAAACCAAATTTAAATAATACATATCCACAAACCCAGCCCTACAGAAAAAGTACTAGAATGAAAACCCCAAAATAGTGACGCTAACTGCAACCAAAAAAACACAGGCATCTGATAATTCCACTACCAGTATAATCCAAAGAAGGGAAACACAGAAACACTACTACTGTGAAATAACAGGAATTAACGACCACTGGTCATTAATGTTGCTTAACATCAATGGACTCAATTCACGTATAAAAAGACATAGGCTGAAAGAATGGATATGAAAACAGGATCCAGCCTTCTGCTGTATTCAAGAAACACACCTCAAGTCAAAGACAGACACTACCTCAGAGTAAAGGGTTGGGAATAGGTTTTCTAATCAAATGCACCTAAGAAACAAGTAGGTATAGCTATCCTAATATCTAAAAAACTTGATTTCAAACTAAAATCATTCAGAAGAGATGGAGAAAGACACTGTATAATCATAACAGGAACAATTCATCTAAATGTAGTCTTAATTCTAAACATCTATACCCCTAATACATGAGCACTGACATATGTAAAAGAAACATTATTAAAACTTAAACAGAAGATCGAACCCCACACACTAATAGTAGGAGACTTCAACAATCTACTCTTGCCAATGGACAGGTCAATCAGACAGAAACTTAACAGAGAAATAATCAAATGGACTTAGCAGACATATATAGAACATTCCACACAAACATGAAAGAATATACTTTCTTTTCAGCACCTCATGGAACCTTCTCGAAAATTGATCACATATTCGGTAACAAAGCAAACATCCACATATTTAAAAAATTTGGAGTAGCCCCCGTGTCTTATCAGATCATCATGGATTAAAGTTAGAATTTAACAACAATACTACTCTCATAAAGCCTACAAACTCATGGAAATTGAACAGTGAACTACTGAACCATCCCTGGGTCAAGGAAGAAATAAAGAAAGAAATTAAAGACATCTTTGAATTCAACTAAAATGAAGGCACAAGGTATCCAAACTCAAAGCGGTTCCTCTAAAATCAGGAACAAGACAAGGCTGTCCACTCTCTCCATGTCTCTTCAACATAGTTCTTGTCGTTTTAGCAATATCAATAAGACAACAAAAGGAGATCAAAGGATT